ACTCTAGTGTAGCAGCTGAAATTGCCGCCGCATCCGAGTTTCGAACTCGCGCTGATGAGGGCCAATAGCCCGAAATAGCTATTCTGCGGTATTGCCTGTCTATGCCGGAATACTACTATAAAACATAAAAAAGATGTGTTACTGACAGTTGGCTAGTAACATATCAATTATTAGTAACTTTGCGGAACACAATCGGTTGATCCGACTCGCAAAATCATGGGCTTATTCAGAGGAACAGATCGGTGCACAAACAAATAATTAAAAGTACTTTCTTTCAATGGTGCTATGTAGGCGGCCCTTGATAGTATTTAAGTTGATGTCGCCCTTAAGTGGCAGAGATATGAAAAGGAGCCTTTTTCGGAACTGATTGTTTCGTCATTCTAGGCCGTAAGGGTTTGCTATACCTCTCGATAAACTGTGCCAAATATCCCCGCTTTTATGCAGTATCCTTGTAGCAGGTCCCTTCACCTCTTTCTTCCAGAAGACTTCCTGATTTACACATTTCGCTGACCACCTTTTCGCTTTAAAGTTTTCCCCATTTTTACTTTCCACTTTTTAACATGTTTACGTTACTTAGAAGCCTTCCTGACCAGGTTCTATTACTTTACAGACAGCATCAGTAAACTACTCAGGTTGCTCAGAAGTGCACATCTCTAAATTGAGATACATCAACCCCTAAAAAATTGACATATGCATGCCATCTTCGGTTCTTGCCACAAACCGATTGTGGTTAAATGTCAAATTAGACGCATTCGCAGACAAAAGTTACCATTTATGACAAGATATTCCCCCCAACAAATCAGCAAGAATTTTACTTGAATACTCAGTGGCCTTAGCCTTGAATACTCAAGATACATAATTTCTAGGCAGACTGCCTTTTGGTCAATTGGTTCTCGTTAAAATCTCCACTATTTCACGTTTTGGGGCATTGTCTGGCGGCTCTCCCGAACTGAGTCCGTGCATTTTGTATGTCTTTTTACAGTTTCATATTTCGCGTTTACCTTGTTCGCCTCAATTTATTTGTAAGTTTATTTGAATAAATTAACAACAAAACACACCTCTGCGAACGTCGACTTTGAGCGAATTGCCTTTCATGATCGCTGTAGCATGCTATTGAGTTTTCTTTAATCGAAAATAGTCTGTTCCGAGAACTTAAGTTGCTTGAGTCCTGCTTCACGGGCCTCAGTCCATAAAAAGGTGCAATGACCTGCCTAATCCATGCTCGGTGCTGTGACTTAGTTTAGCCAAAGCAATTCACCACTCGAGGAGCGTACAACCAAGCGTATCTTTCAGCACCTTAAGACATATGGCGGAGCAGTCATCACGCCGACATCCGGGAAGACAATTTCAGGTCACGACCCGTACATCAAACAGTTTCTGCACAAGCGGGCAAATTTTCTTAATAAGGGGGTAGGAAGTACTAATTGTCGTGGGTACGTAACAGCCTAGCGACTGTATCTTGTGAATTCTGCAACTCCATATGCATAGTCTACCATTTCCTCCTACTATATCTGATGATGGGTTTGAACAAGGGTCTCGGGTGTCGGGAGAATAGTGGCTCCGCACACTGTATGACCACCTCGGCTAGGAGTCCTGAAATGAAAAAAACCCAGTGGCTAGTATTTTTACATGCTGATAGATCGATCCGTCGAACGTACGGTTCCTTTTAAGACTGAAACTTAAAACTTCTGAGCAGCCATCGCACGTCTAACAATAAACGCAA